ATGTGTTTCCTTTTGGAAAACACAAGGATGCTCACAAAAGCTAGAAATAAAATATCTTTTTATTTTTTTTTCCTTTTTTACTGACCGGTAACGGGATTGCAACCCTCAGTGTCGTGCCCGTACCGGGGACCAGCTTTTTTTTTTTCCTTTTTTACTGACCGGTAATGGGATCGCAACCCTCAGTGTCGTGCCCGTACCGGGGACCAGCAACGGGATTGCAACCCTCAGTGTTGCGCCCGCGCCATGCTCAGCCAGTGAGCGGGAACCGGTCACCACATTTGCAACCCTCAGTGTTGCGCCCGCGCCATGCTCAGCTAGTGAGCGGGAACCGGTCACCACATGGGATCCGAACCCTCGGCGGGAGCACCGCCACGCTCCCAAGCGGCGCACTCTCCAGTGCACCACCAGGCCGGCCCAAAATAAAATATCTTTTAAGACAGATATGATTGTGTAACCTTGACTCAGGCCTGGCCAATGCTGTTGGGATGAGAAAACTGCTTTGCGTTTTTTCATCAAGCATCTCATGTTCTTCTGCAGCCCCTCAGTATTCCAAACACCACATACACCTTCCCACTGTCTGTGTAAGTTGTCAAATTGCAGGGGTGAGTGATTCAGCCCCCGATCTGGCTCTGCTCACTTGCAGGTCTGTTCTGACTCGGTCCCCAGGTGAGCACAAGGAACTGACAAGGTGACTGACACAGCACCTAGACCCCTTTTACAGGTGATTAGGGAAAAAACTCATCAATGAGGGCTTTGTCAAGGGCCCTCAAAGAGTCTGACAAGGGCAACTACTGGGAATATTTAAGAATATGGCCTCTCAAAAGGTGCATTTGATAAAACATCTGGGGAAGGCAGAGGAAGGAGAAGGACACAGGGGTGTTTTGGAGGCCAAAGGAGGAAAGTCCTCTGAGGAGCAGACAGAATTGCTGACACTAAGGCTGGTGACAGGTTCACTGTGAAATGACCGAGAACTGATGTGGCATCAAGGAGGGCATCACCGATTAAAACAAACAAAACAAAACAGCGTCAGTGGAGTGATGGGGTGAGAGGCCGCTGGAGTGGATTCAACAGAGAATGGAAGGAAACATGGAAACTGGGAGAAATGGGGTGAAGGCTTAAAGGGATGGAGGGGTGAAGGAGGTTTATTTTATTTTATTTTTTTTGTAGTGAGAACCATCAGAGCCCATGTGCACACTGACGGGAGCCCTCAGACGCGCTCTCACAGTGGGATGGGGTCCCATCCCGGCCTCTGCCTTCCACAGCCCAGAATGGCAAGTCTAAGTCCGTTCTCCTGGGTGCTCAGGCCAGACACCTGGGGTCATCCTTGGTGCTGCTCTCACTCCCCCTCCACGTCTCTGGCACATCCTGCGTCTCTGCCCTCAGAACAGATCTAGAATCTGATCACTGCTTACCCCGCCCCCAGTGCCACATGCTCCCCCCTAGTGCCTCACTCCCCACTGGCCACCGCAGTGACTTGCTGTTCCTTGAACACACCAGGCCATGTTCTCACCTCAAGAATTTTGCTCTTGCTCTGTTCCTTGGTTAGGATTCTCGTCCCCAAAGACCCATTTGCTCCCTCCTTTCCAGCCTCTGCTGGAATGTCACCTTCCCAAGACAACACCTGCCATGTCACCCTGTCAAAACAGCACTTTCCCCATTCCTCTCCCTTTCCTTGCTTTCTGCTGCTTCTTAGTACTTCTCACCACCTGAGATATTACGTGTTTATTCGTTTTCCGGTTTCGTCTCTGTCTCCCCCCAGTATAATATAGGAACTTAGTCTGTTTTGTTCACAACTTTAACCCAGAACCTACAACAGGGCCTGGCATTTACCAGGCACTTGATAAAGTTGTTGAATGAATGAAGATGTCTCCCTATCCAATTCCCTCCACCCCAATCCCAAGAAGGAAGGACACAATGTCACTTAATGATTTAAAGCAGTATGAGTATGTGGCACTGTCCCTGGTCTCAAGTTCTGTGCCGAGATGTTCTGCAGAGTTAAATAACGCCGTACCAAATATAACTAAGAGCAGGGAGAGAAAGAAATAACAAGACATGCACAAGGGAAAAGAGGATCTGTTTTTAGCCAAGCCCTAAAATGAGAGCACAGGGATGAGGCAAAGAGGTAGGAACACATGGGTCTTGCTTCCTGCAGACAAATCAGCTCCCTCCCCAGCTGCAAAGAGGAGAGGAAAAGACAGAGACAGGGCCTTGGGAACCCTAAGAAAAGTCTGATTTAAGTCATGACCTCTGTCCTTGATGGGCCTTTAAGCTGTTGATTTTCTGACTTGTGGGTGGTGCTTTGGTGTTTACCAACAATAATGAACTCCTAAGAAAAAGAAGTTAATTATTAACATTTATTAATATAATGTATTTATTATTTATTAATACAATTAATTTATTAATGTAATTAATTTACCATTAATGTTAACATAAATAATACATAATATTGACATTTATTGAGGTCCTCAAAGGGAAGAAAACATACAAGCAATGCTCTGGGAAGAAAGAGACTGGAGCCTCGTGGCAGGGACACTGGTCTGGGACTCAGGACACCTACATTCTTCTCCCTGCTTTGCAGTGAAAGCACCTAGGTGACACTGCACAGGCCTCTTGCTCCCTTTGAGCCAGTCTCCTTGGCCATAAATAACATGATTCCTAAGTTACTTAGCAGGCCCAGAATTCTAAGTCCATGATTTTACACCTTGCAACAGTGATAATCAGATATAAAGCTTGAAGACTGCCAACCAATGTAGGACTTTCAAACAGGGATAACAGGCATTCACGCAAACACAAAGGGTCCCTATGAGGATCCGACAAACTAACCCATGAGAAGCACTTAGAACAGTGCCTGGCACATGTGTACCCTCAACAATCGCTGGTAATTGCTCATTTATTGGCTCATCTGTTCAATCAACAAGCTCTGTAACTGACCCTAGAGGCAGGGATGGGAGACGCAGTCTTTGCCTTCAAGTAGTCAGAACACAAGACAAAAAAGTAAGAGCAGCAGTAATTAGATAGTCTCAGACACAGCAGTTAAATCACATAGCTTGATAAATTCGAGGAAAGGCAGTCACACAAGTTTCAAGGGAAATTCACCATAAGAACAATGTTTCACTCTCTTTTTTGAAAGTGATGAGAGATGTGGATTAAGGGAGGACTGACAGAGATGGCAGTACTCAGCTTCAGCGAGCTTCTGATCGAAGTGACAGGTGGGTTTTGAGCATACTGTGATACACTCTCTTCTATCATAGAGATGGTCCACAAGTCTTAGAGAACCTGACAGAGGCAACTGCCCTAATTTTGCCCATAAGAAATGATAAATGAGCAGATTGGGCAAAACCAAAAAAAAATAGGCTAACCTGATGAATAGGAATAAATATTATTAATGAATAGTTTTATTTTTGAATATTGGCAGTTTTGTTGTACACAGAATGATTTTGCAACTCTATATGCTCTTTAAAACATTTTCATCTATTTTTCTAAAACTTTTTCTACTATTTTCTTCAAAAATCACGCTATCACTCCTGCCTTGAATACAATCCTTATAAAACTTTATGTAGGGCCGGCCCGGTGGCGCACTGCTACAGTGCGCCGCTTGGGAGCGCGGCGGCACTCTTCTACTATTTTCTTCAAAAATCACGCTATCACTCCTGCCTTGAATACAATCCTTATAAAACTTTATGTAGGGCCGGCCCGGTGGTGCACTGCTACAGTGCGCCGCTTGGGAGAGCGGCACTCCCACTGAGGGTTCGGATCCCACATACAGACTGGCCGCTCACTGGCTGAGCGAGGTGCGGGAGCAACACCGAGGCTTGCGATCCGTTGCTGGTCACGAAAAAAGACAAAAAGGAAAAAAAAAAAAAAACAACTTTATGTAAACTAGGATCCCATTTTCCAAAAAGATAATCTACATACACATGCCCAGAAAGGATTAAGAAAGACACACACCAGAATATATGTTACTAGTGGTGTCCTCTCAAGGGATAAGGTTATGGATACTTGTTCTGTACTTCTTTTAGTCTCTACATCCTGATTTTTCTATAATGAACACAAATTGTGTAATAAAATAAGCAATCAAATCTATACAAAAGTAAGATATGGCTTTTTTTGTATTGATGGACCTATTTTTAAACTTCTAATTCATTTTTGACTAAGATAATAACTGCTGTGCATCACTTCCGTTTTTGTGCATGGACAAAATGCTGAAAGATGCGTAAAGAGTCACAAAGTTGTCTTGTGGTGCACCAGCGTTTCCAACACTGGAAGAAAACAGTGATTACCATGGCATCCAGTTTTCCACTGAGC